ATGTACCAGTGACAGAAGGTGCTGCCCAGGAGTATGCTCAAGCTGTTTGTGTACCTGAAGAGGCTAAGGTGACGGCTTCTCCTGGAGAAGGAGGCTCCGGAGTCTGGAGGAAGCAGCTGGAGTGTCTGTTGACATCCTTAAAGCCTTATTGCCCAGTTAGAACTTTGAAGCAGGGGTAAAGGCTGGGAAGGGAAAGAGCAAGTGAAAGAAAAGGAGGAGGGGCGGGCTCAGACTCAGCCAGTGCGTGCGCCCTTTAGCCTAGCCGGAGTTCTACAGGAGCCCCATGGCCAACTACGAATTTAGCCAGGTGTCTGGGCACAGACCCTGCTGCCGCCTCTCTAGGACAGCCCAGATCTGTCTCGGAGTGAGTCTCATGATCCTGATCGCCTCTGTAGTGATCGTGGGCATACTTCTGTGGCCGCGTGCACCCCTGGTGTGGAAAGGGAAGCCTACCACGAAGCACTTTCCTGAGATCTTCCTGGGACGGTGTTTCATCTACACTCAAATTCTGCGGCCTGAGATGAGGTGAGTTGACATTTGAGGCACACACTGGGCACGGTGTACCGCTAGACACCGGGGAGGCAGGCTGTGACCCAGCTGGAGCTCGCACGGGGGAGATTCCAGACTGTCCCAAACAAAGAATCTTGTGTTGCGTGCGGGTCAGCTGGGAGCCAAGGGGCAGTGCCGAATAGGAATCGGATGAGCCCTAAGTCCCCTGAGCAAGTTACCAGAGCACCGCCCCTCCCCCCGCCACCAACTCGGGGTTTGCATTTCCTTGCAATGGGGACGCTGATCTGTGCCGAGCTCCACAAAGATGTTCGCCTTCCACAGCGGGTCTTGAGCTGGACCCTTGGGCTCACCCTTGGCCACAGCTGCGCTTCAGGGACAGACTATGACTCGCAGGCATTCACAGTGTCATTTGGCTTGTGGTTTCGATCTGCCACCATTCATGCCCAGAAAGTTATGGTCACAGGCAACTCTTGACTAAGTGGCTTACTGAGCATGCTGTGGGGGTTGAGGGAATCAGAAAGGACAGATGTCTGCCTGGAGTTTTCTTTGTCTTTATAAAACAGCATCCTAAAGTGGTAGTTTCATGCGTGTAACTCCAGCGCTAAGGGGACTGGTACAGGGGGATTGGGGTGAGTTCGAGGTTAGTCTGGGCTGCACAGCTGCATTGTAAATTCCAGGACAGGCTTGAGTTGCAAAGGGAAACCAGCCTTAAAATGAACACATTAATTAATTAAAACACACACCACAAAAAACAAGCCCAGACAGCATCCTGGTTCTTTTCGCACCTGATCTTTCATAAAACAAAGCAAGACAGACTATAGAACGGAAATAGTATTCATCGGATAAGCTGAATCCGCTTGGTGAACCTGTGCAGACCTTTGCCTTCATCAGCTCATAGAAATCAGCCCTCATACTTACCTCCGCCTACTGCGTGAAGCTAAGGGAAGCTAAGGGAAGGAGGACTTGTTGCATTTCTATCCCCTCAAGGTGTCTTAGTGTAGAACTGACGTCTGAACTCAAACAGAACGCACCACAGTCTGGGAGGCATGCCCAGATGCCCAATTTCACATTCTGTCTTCGGATGCACAAGCTTCCCAGATGCTCAAGCTTCCCAGATGCTCAGTGGTTTGGGTCCTGGTCTTATTTGAAAATCTTCATGTAGGAAGAGTCTCAGGGTCCTGATAAGTATTTTGCTTACAAATTTTTAAATGATCTTGGTTGCTCAATCATTTTGTGTAAATTCACTGTGCTTAGCAAACTGGATGCGTGGAATTGGCATGATGTGTACTTAGTATTAACTCTGTGGAGTGTCGATTCTGACAAGCACCTGTTCAACCTATCTGCTCAAGTGTATATATAAGCATCCAGCAAGTATTAATTATTTGTGTTTGTCAAATCACAATCAATCTAAAAATAACAGGATTGATTGAAAATTGTACATATTTATTTCATTTTGTGTGTGTGTGTGCACGTGTATGTTTCACTGCATACATGTGAAGGTCATAAAATCAGGTCTCTCTCTTACAATGTAGATTATGGGAATCAAATTCAGATCATTGGGTTTAAAAGCAAGCATCCCTAAAGACTGGTCTACCTTATTGGCCTATCCTGTTAATTTTGTGAGGCCATCTTTTCAGACATCACACAACAACACACACACACACACATTTTATATTAATAGATTAGTGATAGGTACTTATTGTGTTCCAGGCACTTAAAAATAACCAATTGCACCAGGCAGAGTTAGCACACGCCTCTAATTCCAGCACTTGGGAGGCAGAGACAGCTGGATCTCTAAGTTTGAGGCCAGCCTGGTCTATAGAGTGAGTTCCAGGACAGCCAGAACTACATGGAGAAACCCTGTCTCAAACAAACAAAGAAACAAACAAACAACAAAAAGTTTTTTAAAAAAAACCAATTATGCAGTCATTTAGCGACCCCACAAGCTGAGGTGCGGCTCACTGGAGGACTCTTGCCTAGTTTACACAGTGCCCTGGGTTCATCCCCAGCATCTCAGTAAATGAATGAATGGAACAGGATAGAATTGGACAGAAGACAACCACACACAGGGAGTTTCAACTGGAATCTACACTTTACAGATAGGCCAACTGAGTCAGAAAGTTTGAGTAAACTGTCTACATGTGGTTGTATGGATTGAACTCCCAAGCCACTAAACTAACTGCCTATGCGTGTTTTATAGGAAGAGTGGCCATGAAGTTTATAGGCCATGTATAGAGACATTTGAAACAGAAAAGAAACAATAATTATAAGCATAATAAGTCAACAAGTTTAACCTGACCGCATGGCACCTTATCCTCCCATGGTCTAAGAATGTAAACTCTGAAGCCAGGTCATCTGAGCTTGAGTCTTGGCTTTGTTGCAGTATGACCTTGGACCAGCTCCTCAATGTATCTGTGCCATGGTGAGTTCTCTCCATGTAAAATGGGAACATTAATGATAGCACCCAGCACCTGGAGAAGAGGCCTAAGAGGGATAATTTTGCCATGGTAAATGCCCAAAATATTACTGCTGTGTAAATGTAGACTCAGTTCAATCATAATTTAAAATTTACATAATCCAGTCCTCTAGTACTGAAGGTTACATTGGTTTTAATTTATTGAGTTATCTTGTTAACTTAACAGTTGGCTGTGGTGGTCATTAAATCGGTACATGCAAATCCACCTCATTCTTTATACAGTAGATGTAACCACTTCCAGTTGACAAAAGTTTAACTCCAATTTTTAATTATATATCTTTATTGCATTTGGGGAGCATGTGCCTCAGGACATGGATGGCTGTTGGAGAACAACTTGTGTGAGTTCTGTTTCCTGCTACCCAGGTTCTGGAACTCAAACTCAGGTCTTCAGGCTTGGCAGCAATCACCTTTACTCAGTGAGCCACCTTACTGGCCCATTTTATAAATTTTTCAATCCCGTTCATTCATTCAATAAATGTGTTTGAGCCCCTACTGTGTTCCAGGCAGTGGTGTGGCTACTAACGGCACAGGGATGCTCGAGTCCTGATTCTTGTGCTGCTTTCCTTCTGCAGTGAACGCCTTCATGTTTATACTGGAGTGTCCTATATGGCAGACATCCAGGGATGGAATTCTTGGGTAAAATGGGATATTGTTCCTGTCTTAGTTAGGGTATCTATTGCTGTGAAGAGATGCCATGACCACAGCAACTCTTATAAAGGAAAAAAATTTAACTGGAGGTGGCTTATAGTTCAGAGGTTTAGTCCATTATCATCATGGTGGGAAGTATGGTGGCACAGAGGCAGACACAGTGCTTGAGAAGGAGCCGAGAGTTCTACATCAGGATTGGCAGACAATAGGAAGAGACAGAGAGATAGGTGGCCTAGCTTGAGCTTCTGAAACCTCAAAGCCCACCTCCAGTGACACTTCCTCCAACAAGGCCATACCTACTCCAACAACAACACACCTCCTAATAGTGTCAGTCCCTATGAGCCTGTGGGGATTATTTTCATTCAAACTACCACAGTACCTATTTTCAGTTTTAATGGTTTTTGAATTCCAGATGTTTCCAAATCCTTTCTGAAATAGCTTTATTATTTCACACTCCCACATCAGTCTACAGGGTCCGCTTCTCCACAATATGACCATTATTCAATGTCTTAAACTCTTCTTAATTATGAGAAGAATAGAAAAACAACATCTAAGTTTCCCTGTTGGCCAGCAAGCCTTAGTTCTTGTCTGGCTTTTGTCTATTTCAACTTTGTTCAGCTCTTCATCCTTTCTGTTGAGTTACTTACATATATGTTTGGGGGTTCTTTATGTTTCTAGATAATATTTATACACACATACACAAAGTGTCCCACATCCACGTCACTGAGACCTCTGTCCTGCAGACACATTTTACTGACAACATCCTGAGTTTCATTATTATCTTGGGGTTGTTTCTTATTTTGATACCTTTGTCAAGAAACACAGAATGACAGTTTTATTTTCAAGCATAGCAAATTTGAAGCATTTGCTCTCAATTCTGCACTAAGAATCAAGAATTCCTCTTTCTCTGTGTCTGCACTTTCTCTTATACAACTAAAAAGGACAAAAAAATGATTGGACTGTCAGTGTTCTACTCTAAGGCTTCTGTGACAGCCTTAGGTTCCTGAGGGGTGTTATGCATCTTTACTTTTGTGGTTGACAGGATTACAACAACTTGTATCACTTCTGCAAGGTGATGCCTTTCTGCCAGCTTCCAATAACCACTTCCTGATGTGTTCATCAAGTCAACATGAACAGTCTCTCCCTGAGACCTTTCTTCTTCTGCCTGACATCTAGTGTCAGTACTGATGTCATAGGGTCTCCAGAGAAATGGAAATGGTGAGGAGGTGTGGAACTGGCCCATGTAATTGTGGAGGCTGTCAATATAAAATATCTGCAGTCTAGGACAAAAGGTTGGAAGCTCTAGAATTGCTGATGCTATGGCTTTAATCTGAAAGGAGTCTGGCAGGATTCCCTTATCTCCTGGAACCATAGTCTTTTTCTTAAGGCCTGACCTGATAAGATGTGACGCACTCACAATTATGGTGCGTGATGTACTTTCTACCAGGTCCATGTTTTAATGTTACTTTCATTTAATAGAACACCTTCCCAGCAGCAGGCAGATATGTTTGAGCACATATCTGTGTGCCGTGAATGGCAATGGCACTTCCAAAAATCTTGTTTCAAGATTTTTTTTATTTTTATTAAGAATCTTATTACCAGATGCCATTTTTTCTATGTCTCTATAATAAACCACCATTTCCCAATCCAATTACTTACATCAGGGATCATTTAAATTTCATGCTTTTGTGAGTGGACAGGGATCATCTAGGGGCCTGCTTCACTCGATGTCATCTGGGTCTGCCATCACTCAAGCCATCATTCAAGATGCCTTGCTTTCATGACTGACGACTTAGCTCAGCAGAGATGCTTCTCTTTCTCTTTTTGTTGTCTCTTCATGGTCCTCTCCACATGGTCCTTCTCTATTAGATCAGGGTCTCTGAAGGATTTACACATTCTACCAGTACAGTCTGCTGGGTCCTCCTAAAGCTTTAGGCTCATAACTAGTATTGCTTCACTTCCACATGTCACAAAGCCAAGGCCAACTCCTACTTGAGGGCAGGAGAAAGAAACTCTACTTCTCAATGTGGGGGATAACACATCTGGTGGGTACCCTCAGCTCTTCACATTTTGCATGGGAGCATCCTTGTCTCTGTTACTATTAGCCTTTTGTTATGATTGCTCTTTTGTTATGATTTGCTGCCCTTTACAATCTTCTATAACTACATTCATAATGAAAAATAATCTACCATGTGCCTCCTGCAATGTTACCCTGTTGAGTTTAGGAATTATCATCCAGTGATATATTTTGAGCTCTCAGATTAATCCTTGAAATATAATAAGCACTAACTATTGAGTTGAATCACATAAATGGCATGTAAATCAGTATATCACAAATAGTATAAACAAAGCCATAATAAATATACCTCCCTGATATCACCACACTCAAATCTATCAATTTGTGTTTGGGTTTTATAGACTGGGGTGGGGGAGGGGACAGACAGCTTCTATATAGGTTGTATGATTTTGTGGAAGGGGGAGGCAACGGTGCAATTGCCATAACCAAGACAACTTAGGAAAGAAAGCATTTAATTTGGGGTTTGTCTTTGTTACTGTTCTATTGTGTCAAAGAGACATCGTGGCCAAGGCAACTCTTATAAATGGAGGTAATTAATTGAGGGCTTGCTTATAATTTCAGAGGTTTAGTCCATGATCATCTTACTGGGAAGTGTTCAGGCATGGTACTGGAGTAACCCCTGAGAGCTTAATATCCTGAACCATGGGTGGCATTGCCGGGGGTGGGGTGGGGTGAGGGGCAGGCATGAGATTTTGATACCCATGTAAAGGTGCATCTCACTCTTAAAGCCCACTCTTAGTGATACAGGTTCTACAACAAGGCCACACTTCCTAACCCTTTCCCAAGAGTTCATCATCTGGAGCACAGGGGGCCCATTTGCATTTAAGCTATCACAGGGCTCACAGGTTTAGAGGGTTAGAATCCACAACCATCATGTTGCATGACAGCATGAAGGCAGACATTATGCTGGAGGAGTAGCTGAGAGCTCACACCTGGACACACAACCATGAGGTGGGGCAAAACAGACACACTGGTAATGGAGTGAGTTTTCTGTAACCTCAAAGCCTGCTCCCAGTGATGCACCTCCTCCAACAAGGCCACTCCTCCTGGTCTTTCCCAAAGAGCTCCACCAACTGGGGACCAAGTATTGAAACATATGATTCTATGGGAGCTATTCTCATCCAAACCACCACAAGCTTGCCAAATAACCTACATTAGCTGCCCAGTGAGCCTCAGGCATCTGCCTGTCTCTGCCTCTACCACATTGGGTTTTGACAGGCATTGTGGAGATAGAAGTTTTGACAGGCATTGTGGAGATAGAACTCGGGTCCTTCTGCTTGCAAGCCAGCACTTTACCAATGGAGCCATCTCCTCAACACTGCAGCTTTTCTGATTTTTATCTTTCTTACCTGCTCCTTTCCCTTCTATTCTTTGTAAAAATTCTCTTATCCTCACAAAACTCATCTACCAGCTTCTCTGTGCTGGATATGAAGGTTAACATTCACTATCAACTTGATTGGGTTAGGGTCTATTTATAGCATTAGTAAGATGTATCTTTAGATGTTTTCTTGTTTTGGAAGAATTTCCAGAGAGCTTTAACCAAGAGGGAAAACTCATACTAAATATGTAGGTGAGGGTGGGGCACCATCATATGGGCTGGGATTCTGGGCTGGACAAAAAGCAGGGAGGGAGGTAAAATATCAGCCATGTACTGGCTTTACCCTTCCCCTTTCTCTAGTTATTGGTCAGAGTCACAGGTTAAGCTACTCCCCTGCCTCTATGCCTTCCCTGCCATGGTGGAGTGGGCACCGAAACAAATCCTCCCTTAAGTTTTTTTTTTTTTTTAAATAAATTGTAATGGTTAACAATGACTATCAACTTGACAGGGTCTACAATCAACTGAGAGACAAATCTTTGGGCATCCCTGGAGGGAGTTTTCAGATTGGCTTCATTGAAGTAGGGAGACCCAATGTAAATGCCGTTAGTATCATTCCAAATGGTTTGACTGGGGACAGGATAAAGAGGAGAAAGCCAGATAAGTACCCACATTAATCTCACTATGCTTTCTGACCGTGGAAGCAATGTGATCAGCCTCTCTCTTCTGCCACCATGATAGATTATACCCTCAAAGTGTGAGCCACAAGAAAGCCTTTCCTTTTAAAGTGGCTTTTGTCAAGTGTTTTCAAAAGGAAATCAAGAAATACATCAGTTATTTGTTCTCAGTGACAAGAAAAGTAACATATATACATGGGGTTTGAACCTGGACTCTAGGTGTGCCGAGCACACACTCTATGGATGCACTACACTCTCTGCCCCAGGGGAAGATGAAT